GACAGCGCAGGAGAGCAGCCGCTCTCCCCTGCAGGGCAGACTATGCCAGCCCAGGGGGACGGTCCCCCTCACAGCCAGGGAGCCGCCATGACACCCAGTCCTGCTCATCACCGGCTTGCTTTCCTTCCTCCCCAATCCAAACTCACCGGTGTTGCCTTCTGTGGAAGTGAACAGGCTTGAGGGTGGGTTCAAGTCCTGATCCCTTGGCTTCTTGAATAAATTAGTTAGCCTCTCTGAGCCTCATTTTCCCCCTCCAACAACTGAGGAGGAAAGCAAGGCCTTGTCCGTCTGTAGAGTTGCTGTTAAGATGAAGTCCGATCATGGGTCAAGTGGGTAAAACATCTCGATGATTGGTGAATGATGACTGCTAAGTGCTGGCCTCCTGCTCCCCACCTTTTTTGTGGTTTGGACTCAGGGTTTTGCGCTTGCCAGGCAGGTGCTCTCCTGCTGAGCCATGCCCTCAGCCTCCCATCCTTTATTATTTTTTTTTCTTGCATTGGTTATTTTGAGATATCACGTCATGCTTTGCCTGGGTGCCTGGATATCGATCCATGGATTTATTCTTCCCACCATAGCTGGTATGGCATACGATCACCACAGTGCCCAGCGATCGGTTGATATGGGGGTTTTGGTAACTTTCTGTCTAGGTTGACCTCAAATGGAGATACTCCCAATGTTAGCCTCCTGAGTAGCTAGGAATCTTACAGACTTTCCTGCCCAGGTTGGCTTCAAACCTTGATCCTTAGCTCTCGGCTTCCTGAGTAGCTAGAATTACAGGTCTGAGTCACTGGTACCTGGCTGACCTTGAGCTTTTGATCCTCCTGCCTCAGTTGGGATTATAGAGGTAGGATGCTACGTCTGTACTAGGTATAGATTTGACGTTTTCTTTGTCTCAGGCAAAATGGTCCAAGCATTCGCTGTGTTTCCTGGAGTCAACTTCTATGAGCCTTTGGCACCCTTCCATTTGGTGGGCTTTGGAGGCTGGGGGCCTGTGCTGAAGCCAGGCCCTCCCTCTGCTGGCTAAAACCATGCTGGGTTGTTGTAAAGATGAATTCAACAATGTGTGTCATGCCAAGTGCCAGCAGCTCACACCTGCAATCCTAGCTACTCAGGAGGCTGAGATCTGAGGATCGTGGTCGAGGTTGGTGCCTGAACAGAAAAGTCCCTGAGACATTATCTCCAATTGACCACCAGAAAACCAGAAGTGGTGCTGTGGCTCAAAGTGGTACAGTGCTAGCCTTAAGCAAAAAAGCTCAGAGACAGCATCTAGGCCCCAAGTTCAAGCCCCACAACTGACAAAAAGACCAAAGAACAAGAAAACAGTGTGGGTCCTATACTTGGCACTCAACAGATTCTGCCGAACAGAAGCTAATGTTAGTATAATTCAAAAGCTTTCCTCAGCTATATAAAAGGTATATAAAAAGCTGACCATGAGGTGAGTGTAGTGGTTCACACACATAATCCTAGCTACTCAGGAGGCTGAGATTTGAGGATCCAGGTTCAGAGCCAGCCAGGCAGACAAAGATGAGCGACCCTTATCCCTAATTAAACAGCAAAAAGCCAAAACTAGAGGTGTGGCTCAAATGATAGAGCACTAGTCCTGTGTTCAAACAGAGCAAGATCCTATGTTCAAACCCCAGGATTGGCACAGAAACAAAAATGGCTGCCCCCTGTCTTTGGCTAAATATGAGGTTTGAAATCTTAGTGTGCTCCTGAACTTGAGCAAGCCACCGGGCAAGGTTACGGCCCATCCCTTGATCGACCCACTGTGCTCCAGGCTCCGCTGCGTGCTCTTCCGTGCTCAGTGGCCCCCATCTGAACAGCGCCCATGGCGCTGTAAGCTGAGTGGGGTCGGCAGCTTTGCTCATTGCACACGTCAGAGCAGCTTCAGACCTGGCAGAACTCTCTCCCTTGGGGCAAGGAGCTCAGCCTTCCCTCTCATTTGGACCTCCCTCCCTCCCCCGCCACACCCAGTCCCCATGTGTCTCGTGGAACCCCTTCCCCAGCACGGCCACCCTGTGCTAACAGGTTAGCCGGAGCTTAGCAACCACCCCGGGGAGGGGGCGCAGGCCTCCCATTTCCTGGCCGTGGGCTGGCCCTGCTTCTCCCCACCACCCCCGAGTTGAGGCATGAGGCCTGGGCCCTGCAAGCTGTAGTCTTCTCTGGAGACTGGAAATGACTTCCAGCTATGGTCGATGTTGCTTTTCCTGACCTTTAAAATTCTACCCCCAAACGAACTGTCCCTTTCAGGGAAGCAAAAGCAACCTTCTGTGAGTGGGTGGGAGGGGAGGGTCCCCCATTTTGGAGAAATCGAAGTTTCCCACATCTCCCAGACTCAGAGCCCCTGGTGCGATTTCCCATGCCCAAGGCACAGGGGGGAGAGAGGCCACGTGACCCCCAGGCTTCGAGACAAGGTCCTGTTGGTCCAGCCCTTTCCTTCTGCATGGGGAGAGCCGGTCACTGGATGCTTCACCAAGGAGGACGCTCCTGCTGCCCCCCCCCCCGCCATCTCCTGGGGGTGGGGAGGGCATTTGACACTGTGAGGTGAAGGTCAGGGAGTCCCCAAAGTCCACTCAAATGGGCTCAGAGGCCTCTTCCTGCCTCTATTGTCCCATAATCCAAAGGGGGCTCTTAGGGCAGGACACTTCTCCATTGTGGCTGCATTTATTTATTTTTCTGTTGCTGCCCAACTTGTATAAGAAATCCTACTCTAGTTTGCTTTCCACCAGCCATTTCCTGTCATGACAAATCTTCTCCTTCCCGGAAGGAGGAGGACAGGACTTCTGGGAATGAGAAGGAAAGTCAGGGAAGATAAACATTCGTCATGCTGGCCTTTAACTGTGCTGTCACACTGCGAAGAGGCGGGGGCTGGGAGCTGGCGGGGGCGGGGGCAGAGGTGAGGGGCAGGCATGACCCTCAGACTATCCAATGCTCTTGAGAAGCACCTGGGCGGACCGCCCCATTGGCATGTGTGGAGCTGGTCAGGCTAGATTTGTGTGGTCTTCTCCCATCTGCCCAGTGCTTACTGGACAGCTCTGCCCTGATGGCCCACAGGGATGTGGCTGGACTTATCCCAGTGGAACTCCTCAGATGACCTATGCCTTGCTGATCACTGTGTCAGGTGCCTCTCCTCACCCAGGCTCCAAGCTGAGTACCTGAGCATCTTACCACACACTCCTGTTCTTGTGTGTGTGCATGTTGGTTCTAGGGCTTGAATTCATGGCCTGGGCACTGACCCTGACCTTCTTTTGCTCAAGACTACCACTTGAGCCACAGCTCCACTTCCATCTTTTTTGGTAGTATATTGAAGGGTCTCATGGACTTTTCTGCCTGGGTTGGCTTCGAATCATGATCCTCAAATCTCAGCCTCCTGAGCTGCGAGGGATTACAGGCATGAGCCACCAGCCCTGCTCTTACTTAACCAGGACTCTAGCCTAGAATAGAAGCACAGCTGCCATGTCCTGGGAACACTCTCACCACCCACAGCCGCACAAGGCAGGCGCCATGACTGCCGTGAACAGGTGACAGGACAGGCACACAGGGCTGGGTTTCCTGTCCAAGGTCATGGTGTATGTGGGGGAGTTGGGGTGAAATATAAGTAGTCTAGTCTGAATGAAGCAATGCTAGTTTTTTTTTTGGGGGGGGTCTTCATCAGGCCCTGCCATCCCTCCCTGGACCTACGTATGTGCATGCCTCCTGGCCTTTAGTCTGCCTTTCTAAACAGAGAGGAGGAAATCTTTCCAAATTGGAATCTGCTAGATCCTCTAGTTCTGCTCCCAACTTTTGTCCCACACTGCCTTGCTGGGCCTCTGGGTTTTCACGGGCAACACAGGGGCAGCTGGGATATGATAATGCGTAAGAGTAGAGTGCCTGCAGGCTGCACAGCAGGTAGCTCAGCCCTGGAGCTGCTGTTAATATTCCTGAAAAGAGTTGAGCTGGACCCAGTGATACATACATACCTGTAGTCTCAGCCACAGATAAGAGGACTGCTGAAGCTCAGGAGTTCAGAACAAACCTAGGCTCCACAGCTCAAAAACAAAAGCCAAAGCATGGATTCAGCTAGAGAAATGTGGTAAGAGTGCTTGCCTGGCATGCACAAGACACCTCAAGAAAAAGAAGTCAGGTGCTAGTGGCTCATACCTGTAATCCTAGCTACACGAAAGGATGAAAATCGTGGTTCAAAGCCAGGCTGGCTGGAAAGTCTGTGTGACTCTATGGCCCAATTAACCACCAGAAAACCAGAAGTGATGCTGTGGGTAAAGTAGTAGAGCCTTAGCCTTGAGCAGAAAAGGCTTACGGACAGTGTCCTGGTCCTGAGTTCAAGCCCTATGACTGACCAAAAAAATAAAATTAAAATAAATAAAAAAGCCCAGGGATGGGTCAGTGTCCAGGCTCTGAGTTCAAGTTCCAGGAAAGTAAAGAAGAGAGGCCAGGCACTGGTGGCTCATGCCTGTAATCTGAGCTACTCAGGGAGCTGAGATTTGAGGAGTCCAGTTCGAAGCCAGCCTGGGCAGGAAAGTCCATGAGACCCTTATCTCCAATAAACTACTCAGAAAAAGCCAAAAGTGGCACTGTGGCTCAAGTGGTAGAACACTAGCCTGGAGAACAAAGAGGCTTAGGGATAGCGCTCAGGCCCTGAGTTCAAGCCCTGTGACTGACCCCCCCTCCAAAAAAAAAAAAGAGGAAGGGAAAGAAAGGAAGGAAGGAAGGAAGGAAGGAAGAGAAAAGAAAAAAGAGTGAGGAGAGGAAGGAGGGGTTGGCAGTAATTACATAAGCACAGAGAGACATTCCCTCACCTAACTTCATGGGGTCTCAGACACAGATACAGGTGGAGATTGTGGCTGACACAGCGCCCTCTCCTGGTGAAGTGCTGACTTGGACGTCCCAGGCAAGGCAAGCCAAGGCTGGCCTGGTGCTCACCAGGCCCCACCACCATTCCATAACCCGTTGGGAGCCAAGGTCCCTGGGAGCCCCCATAAAAACACAGCCTGGGCCCCCTGCTGTTTCTACAACAATGAGAATATTTATTTTCTCCAGACGGTAAAAATAACATTTTTTCTCTCTTTTGTAAAAGTTAAGTACCATTACATTCCTTTTTCTTAAATAACAAAATGCTAAAAATATATATATTAAATTGTATACAGTGCGTCACACTTCATTTTATATTTTAAAATACATGATGTTTCTATTTTATTCTCAAAGTTGCATATTAAGAGCATATTTACAAATAAAGCCTTGTCATCTGAAGTCAAAATCCCGGCTGGAAGGTGAGTTTGGGTGTGGCGCCACGCAGACCCCAAGGACAGCAGCTCCCCGTGCAGACAGAAAAGGGACTTCTAGCCTCTGACCTAAGGACACTCGTCCCAAAGGGGACATTTGCCTGACTGTCCCCCATGCCTGCTTCTGTCTGGTGAGTGTGTAGGCCCTGCCTGGGGTCTGGAGCCCAGACCTCCTGAAGGGCCGGGCCACAGCCGGGCTGCAAGGTTTGACACACCCCTCCTGCCAGAGCAGCTGAGCTGAGACCTGGCCAGGAGGTAGAACAATGAGGAAAGTAAACAAAGACACCAGGAAAACATCAAAAGGTAGTAACAAAAGCAGACATCAAAACATCAAGCTGAGCCAAGAGTGGAAAACTCAAGCAGGTGCCAGGTGCCAGGGCCGCGGAGTGGGGGTCCTGGCCTGGCCCCAGCGGGCAGGGAGGCTGGGTCCTGGAGGCCGTCCACTTCTAAGTGCTTGTGAAGATTCAGTGCGCGGTGGCCCTGGGGGCCGGGGATGGCCTGTAGGTGTCAGGCAAGCAGCCTGGGCTGGATCCAGGGTAGGCTGACTTCTGCCTAGGGTGGGCCTGGGGCCAGGGCTCTGGTCCTGGGGGCTTCTGGCTGGGTTGGAGTCTGGAGCTGGAGCCCACACTTGAGGGAAGAGCAGCCCAGTCACCTGGCCCCCCACTTCGTCCTGAGAGGTGAGGGGGAGGCACGGGCACGTCCCTGCTCATCCTCTGCTTCGCCAGAGGCAAGCCAAGTGGGGGAGCGCCCAGGCACCCCGCGCCTCCCACCTGCTGACGCGGGGCACGGCCACCGGAGACTGGGTGGCCGGACTGCTGCCAGCACCCGCTCCCCCCGGTCCCCTTTGAGTCTCTCCACCCTCCTCGGGCTCCTCTCCTCCACCAGGATCTCCACCAGCTCAGGGGCTCTGTGGGGTGCTGCTGGCTGATCCTGAGAGAGCCCATGGTGGTGCAGTGACAGAGTTGGGCCCGGACAATTTATGGCCTCTGTCCCCTATGCTGTTCTGAGGTGGGTTTGGGTTTCCTGTTTGGGGAGCTGAGCCCAGAGGAGCAGGATGAGCACAGGGTCACCCCCTGCCCTTCTGGGGCTCTGAGAAAGGGCTGGTCAGCTGCAGCCCCCTGCTGGGGCTTGGCCTCCCTGGCTCTGAGATGAGATGGGGGGGAGGGAAGGCATGAGGGGGAGGGTGGTAGACCTGTGGGCAGCCGAGCCTTTCCATGGCCAGATCCCACGCTCTCTGGGCTGTACGGGGCCAGCTCAGAGAACAAGCCCTCTGTAACGACACACAGCAGACGCTCGCATTGTAGAGGAGATTCCTCAAAAGCCACGGGGAGCTGGGACGGCAGAGTGCAGGCGCCAGTCTATTTCCAGTGGTGCTTGATTCTCAGACCCAGGGTCCTGTGGACAGCTGCTCTAGGGTGACCACCCTCTCTAGATCAAAGTGTGAGGTCGGCACCCAGTGCTCTGTGCCCTCCGCAGGCCCTCCTAGGTGCTGGGCCAGTGTCCCAGGCCACCTAGGGACACACTGTCTCTTCTCTGTGAATGGTCACTTCTCCTGGACTTTCGTGGCCTCCTGGTGTCTCTCTGCAGGCACTTCCCAGCTAGCCTCATTACTGCCTTCCATTCAGGACCCCAGGAAGGGCAGGGGCTTAGGCACCTGGGGGAGGTGGGGAGGAAATCCAGGAGGCCAGAGGCACAATCTGCACCAGGGCTTGAGTTCAGCAGGAAAGCCACATGCTGACAAAGGTCCAGGCCTGGGCTGCCCTCCTCAGATGCTGTTAAAGAGCCCCTTCCCATGGCAGAGCCTCTAAGTTAGAGAAGGCACTTAATGCTCCCAGCCCGAGGACACGGATTGCGCGCCTGGCTCAGTCTTGGAGGGTCTCCAGTTCCTGACACCTCTCTGTCCTCACCAACCTTCGTCCACTCCTGCCGGAGGGCAAGGGGGTGTGGGGCAGGGAGCTTCTCCCTTCCTAACCTGCCTGGTCCCCAGCTTCTGGGATGGATTTCACATGGGCACACAGGCCCCACAGCCCAGCCCACACATGCCACCCGAAAGGCTACACCAGAGTCTTTATACTCCCTGTTCTGAACGGAGAGTTGGCTGACAGGACCTGGGAGACTGGCCGGGCTCAGGCTCCACAGAACCACCAGCTGCTGGGGCCAGGCCAGATAAACCCAGTTCACAAGCAGTTACAAAAGCCTCCTGGGCTCATCTGCCTTCCTCCAGCTCACTATCCAGGCCGCTGAGCTTTGGAAAGAAGCCTCTAGCAAGAAGCACATGGACGAGGACCATGTGCCCATGGACCTTCTGCCCACGTGTGCCCGGGCTGGGCGGCATCCAGAGAACAAGGCCCCGGCTAGCACGGACTTCAGAGGCCACACACGCAGGTGAGCGGGCCAACCTCTAGAGAACCTGAGCATGCTTCCAGTCTGTCCTGCTCCAAACTGTAAAGACCAGGGGGAGACTGATCTGTGTGTGGACAAAGCAGAGGAGAAGCAAGAAAAACTCACACACTAAACCTACCCACCACCCAACAGTCATCTTGAATGACCTGAGCCTACTGCCAGCCCAAACACCTCTCTCGTCTCAGCTCCACTGTCTCAACACCCCTCTGCTGGGCCAGAGAGAGACAGGAAGGGCGGGGCCCTGGGCCCTGGGCCTTTCTCCTAAATGCAGGTGCTAAAGCAGTTGGCCTCTGGGCTCTGCCCTCCAGGTAGCATGGGGCTCCTCTTCAGTGCGCAGGAGGACTCCCTCAGCAGGCCGGGCAGAGAGAGGCAGGGAAGAGTTGGGAGAAACACAAGGGGAGGGTCAACCCCAGCAGCCTTCAGCCAGAGACACCTTGCGTCCTGCGTCCTGCGTGGGGTTCTAGTCACTTACAAGGGGATTCCGATCATCTTGTTGACTCTGACCCTTGAGCTTCTTCTTAAAGATGGAGATGGAAGTGGAAGGCTTATAAAAAATGCTCCAGATTTCCCCTGAAGCCGCTGGTTGGTGGCAGTCCCTGAGGTCCCCTGACTCAGAAACACGATGGGATCTGCCAAACAGAAAAATTTTCACGTAGATCAGAACAAAGTGCCCAAAGCAAAACAACCTCCTATTTCTTTCTTTTTGGTCAATTGTGGAGCTTGAACTCCGGACCTGGCGCTGTCCCTGAGCTTTTTTCCCTCAAAGCCAGTTCTCTATCGCTTGGGCCACAGCGTCACTTCTGGTTTTCTGGTGGTTAATTGGAGATAAGAGTCTCAGAGACATTTTTCTGCCCAGGCTAGCTTTGAACCATGAACCTCAGATCTCAGCCTTTAGAGTAGCTAGGATTACAGGCGGGAGCCACTGGTGCATGCATACAATCTACCACTTCATGGGGCACCCGTGTCTATGAAACAGGATGTCCAGTGGGGCGAACTCCCGGGTGGGACCCAAAGAGCTAATGGACTATCATGCCTGCGGGAATCAAAGGCAGTACAGCAAGCCAGATTCTTCTCAGAGTCACAAGAAACTTTGAGCTGGCACAATTGTTCAAATCTGGAAAAGACTGGCCTGAGAGACTATAACTTCTCAAATGCTTCCTTTTTTTTGGGTGGGTCCTGAGGCTTGAACTCAGGGTCTGGGTGCTGTCCCTGAGCTCTTTTGCTCAAGGCTAGTGCTCTATCCCTTTGAATCATAGCACCACTTCCAGTTTTTCTGGTAATTAATTGGAGATAAGAGTCTCACAGAGCCGGGCGCTGGTGGCTCACGCCTGTAGTCCTAGCTACTCAGGAGGCTGAGATCTGAGGAGCGAGGTTCAAAGCCAGCCCGGGCAGGAGAGACTGTGAGACTCCTATCTCCAATAAACCACCAGAAAACTGGAAGTGGTGCTGTAGCTCAAGTGGTAGAGCGCTCGCCTTGAGCTGAAGATCTGAGGGACAGCGCCCAGGCCCAGAGTTCAAGCCCCACGACCGACAAAAAAAAAAAATAGAGTCTCACAGACCTTTCCTGCCCAGACTGGCTTTGAACTGCAATCCTTAAATCTCAGCCTCCTGAGTAGCCAGGATTATAGGCATGAGCCACCAGCACTTGGCTATTATCCCATTTTATATAAGGGACTTGAACATCTGATAATATTACTGTCAACAAACAGCTAGGAACCAATCCATCACAGATACCAAGGGACGATTGTATATGTGTACATGTGCATGTGTGTGTGTGTGCATGTGTGTGTGGTATGTGTGTACATGTATCACAATAGGCATGGGTGTGAGCTTAGTAAACAGTAATAATGACATTATTTCTATTGAAGAATTCCAGACAATTCCAGAAGGAAGATGATCAAAGGTGGCCTTCATAGGACAGTGAAGACCATATTTCACTTATAAAAGTCTAAGGTGGAGAGCAAATAGGGTGAGGAGAAGGAAGATTTGGCTGGATTTTTCTTTGCTTTGTAAGCACATGAACAGCTGTCACCTGAACAATTGCTCTTTTCCTGGAAGGCAGCATTACCGAACTCAGGGAACAGAATAAAGGAACTTTTCCTCCCAAAATTAATCAAAATTGAGGGATAAAGCTTCTTTTTTTGAGACAGGATTTTTCTGGCCTTAAACTTACAATCTCTCCACCACAGCTTCTTAAGTAGTTGAGATTACAAGTACCTATCATGTGCCTGACTTTAAAAAAAAGAAAAATGATTATTAGGAGCCAGGCACTGATGGCTCACACCTATAATCCTAGCTACTCAGGAGGCTGACATCTGAGGATCTCAGAGGATCACAGTTTGAAGCCAGCCTAGGCAGGAAAGTCCGTGAAACTCTAATCTCCAATTAACTACTCAGAAAAAGACAAAAGTGGTGCTGTGTGCTGTGGCTCAAGTGATAGAGCACTAGCCTTGAAGCACTAGCTTAGAAGACAGCACCCAGGCCCTGAGTTCAAGCCTCAGGACAGGAAAAAAAAATAGGCAACAGTTAATAAAATGTCAGAATTCCTAAGCCTGTTTCTCAGTTTCTAGGAGGCATCAGGAAGTGTGCATGGTACTGTCTAAGAATCTTAACTCTTGTGTAAAAATCTCTACGCCAGGCCAGCACAAGCCAAAAAACCAGAAGTTGCTGCTTTTTGTGCCAGGATTGCTTTAATCCTCCTGAAATGAATCCCTTGGATGAAGAACAAACATGAACCCTTGAACAAACACAGTCCCTTGAACCTGTGTAGGATTTGTCAGTTGTACATTTCACTCTAATGCAAGGAGGAATGTCTACTGCCTTTGTGGCCATGGGCTGAGCTTTGCAGTCAATCCTGATAGGCCAACTGCGGCGGGAGGAGGGAATCCCACCCCTGCCCCCGGCTGGCGCCAGGCAGCTCTCTCAGGTACTCACTTGAATGTGACATGCAGCAGAATCTTTGCGACAATGGCGGTGACTGTGAGGATGAGGAGGGTTGCCAGGCCATACACTGTCCATCCTGCAAGTGAAAAAAAGACAGTTCACCACACCTGCGGTGCTCTGTGTCCCACAAGGGGCCAGCTGGGTCGTGGTGTAGGGCTGGGTGGCGGTGTGGGGCTGGGAGGGAGGCGGTGCGGGGCTGGGTGGCGGTGCAGGGCTGGGTGGAGTGTGGGGCTGGGGCTGGGTGGCAGTGCGGGGCTGGGGCTGGGTGGCAGTGCGGGGCTGGGTGGCAGTGCAGGGCTGGGCTGGGTGGCATTGTGGGGCTGGGTGGCAGTGCGGGGCTGGGTGGCAGTGTGGGGCTGGGCTGGGTGGCATTGTGGGGCTGGGTGGCAGTGTGGGGCTGGGTGGCGGTGCGGGGCTGGGTGGCAGTGTGGGGCTGGGTGGAGGTACAGGGCTGGGTTGTGGTACAGGGCTGGGTCAGGTGCTTCTGCAGGTGAAAGGCAGCCAGCAAAAGGGGCAGGGGAGCAGGAGCACTGAGAGTTGGGCTGGGTGTGGAGCTCTCTAGGTACCTCCCCTTGTTCTAGAACCCTCTTTTGTATGACCCAGAGCACACTGGATTGAGTCAAGGGGGGGCATCTACCGCTGGAACCACTCTGTCACCACTGTAACATCAAGCCTTTGAGCCTCCATTTTTCCATCGGAGAAAACAGTGTGACTAATAAAACTTCACAGGATTTCACTTGGGGTGCAGAGGGATCAGTGGGGGTCCTTCACTTGGGGCAGAGGGAGCAGTGGGGGCCCTTCACTTGGGGTAGAGGGAGCAGTGGGGGCCCTTCACTTGGGGTAGAGGGAGCAGTGGGGGCCCTTCACTTGGGGTACAGAGGGAGCAGCAGGGCCCTTCACTTGGGGTACAGAGGGAGCAGCAGGGCCCTTCACTTGGGGTGCAGAGGGAGTAGCGGGGGGCCCTTCACTTGGGTACAGAGGGAGCAGCGGGGGGGCCCTTCACTTGGGGTACAGAGGGAGCAGCAGGGCCCTTCACTTGGGGTACAGAGGGAGCAGCGGGGGGCCCTTCACTTGGGTGCAGAGGGAGCAGCAGGGCCCTTCACTTGGGTGCAGAGGGAGCAGCAGGGCTCCTCTGTGGCAGCCTTCCACGGCGAGTCCACTGTGCAGGGGAGCAGCATCATGACCAAGCCATGTCTGGTCCTCTCCAGCTCACTTTCCAGTGGCGGAAGAGCAGGCATTGAGGACGTGCATGCGCAGCCAAGTCAGCCAGCTTCATGACCAAAGGTCAGCCCCCTCCCCAGCCCTCTCCTGCAGGACCTTCCTCCACAGCGCCCCTTGCCACTGGCTTTTGCACTGTGTCATTTTTCTCCTCCCAAGCCCCCCAAGACAGGGGGAGGAGGGGTCCCCGGTTCATTGTGGGACTCAGTGCCTCCTCCAGGCTCAGTGGCTGGCACCCCACTGGAACACTTACCTATCTTTGGGGCTTGGAGGCTTTTTGTTGCCATGGACTAAACGTGGGGCCTTGTTCATACTAAGCACACCCACTATCCTGAGCCACAGTCCCCCCTCCATCCCACCCTACCTCCTCCACAGCTTTGAATGCACAAAGGAAGTGTCTGCAGATGTCAATACAGTAAGGAGGTGCAACTGGGCTCTAGACATATGATCTTCATCACTGGCTTTGCTGACCAATGACAGAGCATGAGAAACTCACTAGTGGGTTGTGGAGACGAGCACTTTTTCCTAGGGATTTAGGAACTCAGTGAGCGAGGACATTTCCCTCAAAGCCAGGACAAGCTAGAGACTGCAGCGCCAGGACCCCGAGCTGCCTGTGAAGGAGGAGCACCCTAAAGCGCTACCTTCCACGCGACGGCCGACGGCCCCTACGGTCGGTGCCCAGGAGTGGCTACCTGGGACGGTCTGCGGTGGGTGGCTGGGGCTGGTGGTGAGGACGTAGAGGACCTTGGAGTGGGCAGCGCTGACGCTGAGGTTGGCCTGCTCTGTGATCACCTCGGCCAGGGTCTGGTTGACAGTGGGCCTCTCCTGTGGCGGCTCTTCCTTGACGGCTGGAAGATGGAAAGGGACAATAGGGAGGAGAAGGCACAGGTCACGAAGATGAGGCCCTTCTCTCTGATTCACCTCTGCCTGCCATCTCTCCCACTGGGCCTGCTGGCTCCACAGCAGAACCAGTCAGCTCTGGCCCTGGCCTTGCAGGAGGCAGACACCTGGTCATGCTTCTGGTTCCCTACCTTCCTCTGCCTGGAATGCCCTCTCTACCCTGTTCTTCAGGACTGTCCCATCTGGAGGGGAGGGAGGCCCCTTCCTGCCCATCTCCTTAGCACAGGCCACCCAAACTCTTCTTGTGTTGTGCAATCCAGGAGAAGATGAGTCTGTACACCTGGGCATCTCAGAGGCTGATGGGACACATGCTGTGTTCACACCTGGGAGGCAACACCCCTGGGTCTGCGCTCCAGGAGGGTTTGAGGAGGGGTAGTTAGTCTTCAGGAGCAGCTGGGGTGTTCAGTGGCAGGAGGATCAACTGAACGAGGTCTCGAGAGACATCCCGTTCTGCTGACCTCAGCGTTCTTTCAGTTATCCTTTTAGCCCTCCCACGAAAACTGTCATCAGAACTATTAAAATAGCAGAACTGAAACATAAGCACATTGTGCAAGTCGGGGAGGTAGGGGGTGAGTCTAGCACTGGGACGATCTAGAGTTGGGTCAGTGGCTCCAGCTCCGGTGTGTCCAACAAGAGCCACACAAGCTTTGGAAGTCACAATACTGGGGAGTGAGGCCCAGGAGGCCCCCTGGCGAGATGAGCGTGTCTTACCTTGGTATAAGACAGCAAAGCCCTGGGCCTGATTGATGCGATCGGAGAAGAAATATAAGATGACGAAATCCAGAGAGACCTTAAAGGACAAAGGTGGGCGGTTTCTCCCGTTGAAACGGACCAGGACGCGGTGGGTGTAGCCATCCAGCAGCTCCACCATGTCCGCTGAGTCCCTGATGTCAAATAAGGTGAAGTTGAAGTGGATGTGGGAGGCTCCGGGCACCCGAATGGTCCAGTAGCAGACCCGCCCCGTGGCGTAGGTGTCAGGAAAGTCAGGGGAGTAGACCACGGAAGTCATGGCTGAGTAGTTTCCACCGCAGGCGCCAACAAGAGCTGCAGACAGACAGAAGACATGGTGCTGACTTTTGGTCGCCCCCCCCCCCCCCCCCCCCCGGGCTCACTCGCCAACACCCACAAAAAACAAAACTCTTCTTAGGGAGCCTGATCTCATTTCGTGTATTGTCTTTAAGCTACAAAACCAAACCTTCTTAGGTTTCAGGATCAAATCACAGCATGAATCACTTGAACTCTTAGCAAACGACAGTAGAGACCTTTTTGGTTTTGCCCAGGAGACCTAGGAATTAGCACACAGCACAGTGGTGCAGTCTAGGTTGGGGCCAGGCTGGAGTCAGAGAGTCTGGGCTAGGGACTGGCAGGGCCATATGATTCCTGGAGCCACACTTTCTCCTTCCCAGGCCTCTCCCATCTCGGCTTCCACCACCTGCTCTGGTATCCCGTGACAGATGAGACGGAGCGGTGGAAGCACTGGAGGCTGGCAGGAAGGCACTTGATGAGAAAGGTCGTAAAGAAGCAGGCCTCGGCGCCTGTGGGCAACCCCACTGCTTACAGACACAAAGCTCCCACTAGGGCTCCCGCTCCCACTTTTCAAGTGGTAAACTATGACATTCCGGCCTAGGGACCTAGCTCAGTGGTGCGGTGCTTGCCTAGCATGCACAAGGCCCTGAGTTTGATCCCTGAACTGAATGAAAAAAGAGAAAGAAAAAAGAAAGAGAAAAAGAGAAAGAAAGAGAAAGAAAGAAAGAAAGAGAAAGAAAGAAAGAGAGAGAGAGAGAGAGAGAAAGAAAGAAAGAAAGAAAGAAAGAAAGAAAGAAAGAAAGAAAGAAAGAAAGAAAGAAAGAAAGAAAGAAAGAAAAAGAAAGAAAGAAAGAAAAGATTTTCTACACAGCAGGAATACTAGATTGTCATCAGGGCACCAGGCATGTTGGATTTTTCTGGATTCCAGTCGTTGGCAGGCTCTCAGAAGGGGACACAACCTCTCTCTATTTTCCATGGTAAAGTATAAACAAGATCTTGGGAAGGCTTTAGGACACGGTATGGTGCTGGGATTTAAGAAGCAGGCTTGAAGGGTTGAGTGAGCTGGCTCACACTTGTAATCCCAGCTACAAGGGAAATGGAGACCAGAGGATTGTGGTTGGAGGAGACTAGCTCCTGGAAGCAAAAAGTTAGTGAGAGTCCATCTCAGCATAGAAACTGGGCATGGCTGTCACCCCAGCTGTGAAGGTGGTGAAGGAGGAGGATCACAGCCCAAGGCTTGTCTGGGGAAAACACAAGATCCCAGCTGAAAAACAAAGAAAAAAAAAGTAAAGGTGGTGGAGCACCGCCCTAGTAAAGCCTCAAGTTCAAACCCCAGTACCAAACCTACTCTCCAAAAATAACCAAAAAGCAGTCTTTAAAAGACTTCTGCTTCCCTCTAGGACATTGAAAGCAACCAAAAAATATGCTAATTGCCACGCATGGTGCTGCATTTCTGTAATCTTAGCACTTGGAGGCAGGAAAACTGTGTGTTTGAGATCCCATCTCAAACACTGAGAGTGCAGCTCAGCGATAAAACTCTTGCCCAGCATGCCAAGGCCTTCTGTTTGATCCCCAGCACAGAAAAACAAAAGTTTTCTCATCTTAGGAATGAGAAAAATTCTAGACAGTAAGAAGCCCCTCCAAGGAGAGCTGGACTGCAAAAAAAGGGGCTCAGCTGTGACCATGTGGGAGGAAGCAGTGGCCAGCACTGGACAAGTAAGCAGAGGGCAGATCCATTCTTCACTGGCCTGCAGGGCTGAGTGTGGGCTCGCCCCTCAGCTGAGGATTACAGGAGGCCAGACACGGGGTGTTTCGTGTTCTGCAAGCTGTTGCAGGCTGAGTGCTGCCAAGAGTCACTGGGGCTGGGGGCAGTGGGGGGCGGGGAGGGAACGGCCAGAGCCCCTCAGTGGCAGAGGTATGAGGGAGTGTTGGCTACCACTGAAGCACTGCCCCTTCCTGGGCTCTCAGAAGAGTAAAAACCCCTCCTCTGCAGGGGGAGGACAGCAAGCACCCCTCAGCCCCTGGGACAGGCCGTTAGAGGGTAGAGGCAAGCAGGCAGCAATGCCCTGCTTCTGGGAGAAGAGCAGTGGAAGTAAGTGGCACATGCCCTGAGTCCTCCTGGGGAGGGGCAGGAAGCTTTCTTTCCTAAGATCCACCTTGGGCAAGGCAGTGTGTGGGGTGCGGGAAGACTGGAAGCCTTGTCACCACTTCCCAGTAGCCTGTTCTGCCTAAGCCTGAGAACGGAGGCAAGGTAGCCCCAAACCCTGACCTCCAGACTAACTGAGGACAGAAAAGTGGGAAGGAGGAGGGCGCCCTTCTGAGGTCCAAAGCTGAGGGTGGATCAGGAACATGGAGACCCATGGGGCTCCTCTGCCCTGTACCACCCACCACCAGAGGAATTCAAAGCCTGACCTGCATTGAGGCAGTGCAAATATGACACCCAGACCCAGCTCCACCACGGCTGCAGCGCCCAGCTGGCGTCAAGTATGCACACTGCTGCCCTCAGCACCCGCAAACTATAGCACATGCACGAAAGCAAAAGGGAAAGTGGGAGGAGACTGTCAAGAGAGAAAATGACCGTGCTCACACTTGTAATCCTAGTTACTCCAGAGGCTGAGGTCTAAGGATTGAGGTTCGATGCCAGCCCAGTTAGAAAAAGGCTGTGAGACTCTCATCTCCAATAATTGAACTACTCAAAAAAAAAAAAGTTGGAAGTAGAGCTGTGGTTCACGTGGGAGAGTGCTAGCAGAAGCAGCTCAGGCTGTTTTTGCTTTTGGAGTTTTTTCTTTTTGGGGGGCTAAGGGAGGAAGGAGGCGTGAATAAATGCAATCATGCTATTCAGTATATCTATGTGGAAAATGAACTATGTAACTAGCGGGCAGGGACAGGAGAAGAAAATTGGGGGTGACATTGGACAAAAAGAAATGTACTCATTACCTGACTTATGAAATGGTAACTCCTCTGTACACCTTACTAACAACAATAAAATTATATTTAAAAAAAAAAAAAGATGCCAGGCGCTGGTGGCTCACGCCTGTAATCCTAGCTACTCAGGAGGCTGAAATCTGTGGATCGTGGTTCAAAGCCAGCCTGGGCAGGAAAGTCTGTGAGACTCCTATCTCCAATAAACCACCAGAAAACCGGAAGTGGCGCTGTAGCTCAAGTGGTAGAGTTGCTCGCCTTGAGCTGAAGAGCTGAGGGACAGCGCCTGGGCCCAGAGTTCAAGCCCCACGACTGACCAAAAAAAAAAAAAAGGAAGCTGAAGAACATTGCCTGGACTCGGAGTGCAAGCTCCAGGACCAGCACAAAACAACAACAAACAGCCAGACTCACACTTGTAATCCTAGCTACTCACGAGGCTGAATTCTGAAGATTCCAGTTTGAAGCCAGCCAGGCAGACAAATCCAACTCATCTCCAATTAACTAACAAAAAGCTGGAAGTGGGCAGAGCCATATCCTCAGGTGAGTTGGATGTTGGACCTTTTAGACATGAAGCTACTATGAATACAGTTAAGTATCTGTTGGAAGTTATTGAAATTTTAGCAGAGATACAGAAATTATTAAAAGGGAGCAAATGTAAGAGCAGCTAATATGATAAAACAAGTTCGAATCACCCAACATATGTATAATTATAGCCCCACAAGGAGCTAAAAATGAAAAAGCACTGGGCATCAAGTCTAGCATATATCAAGTACTGAGAAAGTACAATTATTTTTTGTCACAGTTAATTCATTTAGTGCATGCCTGTGTGAGGACTAGCACTTTCTTTTCTTTTTTGGGCGGTCATGGGGCCTGAGCTCTAGGCCTGGGCACTGGCCCTCAGCTGTTCAGCTCAAGGCTAGCGCTCTACCACTTGAGCCACAAGGTCACTTTCGGCTTTTTCTGCTTATGTGGTGCTGAGGAATTGAACCCAGGGCCTCATGCGTGCAAGGCAAGCACTCTACCATGGAGCCACCTTCCCAGCCCCTTTATATGTGTTTTTAGCACCAAAGGTACTAAAACAACTTATGTCCACTTGACATCACTAATAAAGGCACTACACTAAGCGAAATGCAGTTTATCTGCTCAAATAAAAAGATGCTGATGGATAAAAGACTATCAAGAATAAAAACTATAGTCAGGTGCTGATGGCTCATGCCTGTAATTCTAGCTACTCAGGAGACTGAGATCTGAGGATCATGGTTCAATGCCAGTCAGCGTAGGAAAGTCTAGGAGACTCTTATCTCCAATTAACCACTAGAAACTGGAAGTGGTACTGTGGCTCAAAGTGGTAGAGCTCTAGTCTTGAGCACAAAAGGTCGCTGACAGTACCCAGGCCCCCAGGCCCTGAGTTTAAGCCCCATGACTGACAAAGACTAAATGAATGAATGAATGAAATCTATAGCTCTGTGTGTGTGTGTGTGTGGTGCGTGCATGTGCACACCAGTACTAGGACTTGAACTCAGGACTTGGGACACTGTCCCTTAGCTTTCTGTTTTTTTCTTCTCAAGGCTAGCACTCTACCCCTTGAACCACAGCTCCACTTCTGGCTTTTTGGTGGTTAGTTGGAGAGTCCCATGGCTTTTTCTGCCTGGGCTGCCTTTGAACTGAGATCCTCAGATCTCAGCCTCCTGAGTAGCTAGGATCACAGGAATGAGCCACTGACACCAGGCTTCTTTCCACAGACTCCATCGTAAAGTCTCATGACCACGGAGTGGGTGCGGAGGATTATGGCAAGGGACTGGGGCCTCAGAGGGAAACGCTTTGGCTCTGCCTCTGGCTGGCATCTCACACAAGTGGCAGCTTAGAGACGAGGTGGCTCAGGGTGAGCCCAGTGCCAGACTGGAAGAACAACTTGAAGCCCTTGCTGGCATCTGAGATGCACAGGAAAGAGGAAACCCCAAAGCCTACACCCCACGAAGCAGGCTGAAACAAACCACACAGCTCCGTCAGTGTCCACGTAGAAGTGGACTGTCTGCAGCTTAGAGGAGGTCATGCTGCACCACCACACTCTCAGCACTACCCGTAGGTGAGATGGTTATACCTCTGTCCTCCAGGGCTCCGCCTGCCTGTGCCGTGCGGCACAGCTAGGGTGCTTGGTGAGCTCTGGCAGGTGAGTGAATGAATTGGTGCAAGGCAGGCAGAGGTGGGCGCTGTGCGCGTACTCACTGTCAAAGAGGATGATCCTGCCATCGCCACCACATGGCTGAGTGTGGTCCCCAAAGCAGACGCTGTTGCACTCGGTGCTGGCGGCCTCCCCGTACTTCCAGTAGTCGGCATTGTTCCCGCAGAAGCACGCGTAGCCTGATTCCATCCCAGCGAACTGCCGGGCACAGAAGGCACAGGGGGGAGCATCAGCAGTCAGCCCACCCACCCAGGCCACCGTGCCCTGGCCGCTCCCCATCTCACTCCACAGATGCGCAATTCCTGGCAGAGCAGAGGGACTCACTGATGTTTCCCTGTCAGTGAGAATCCTTTCTGAAGTTTGTGTTTCCACTGTATTTAGTTAAGTTTTAAGGGTGAGGAAAATCCCATAAGCTTGAAATATTACTAACAGCTAAAATTTAATGGGCTATTTACTATGTGCTAGGTAGTAAATGCTTTCTTTATACCTAATCCTAATAGAAAACTCACGACCAACAACAAAAAAAATCATTTCATCTTTTATAATACCAGAGAGGCATATAGTTCTCTTTTTATTATTTACTTAATTTTTTCATTGGCCGTGGGGCTTGAACTCTGGGCCTAGGCACTGTCCCTCAGCTCTTCAGCTCAAGGCTAGCGTTCTACCACTTGAGCCACAGCACCACTTCCGGCTTTCTGATGGTTTATTGGAGATAAGAGTTTCATGGACTTTCCTGCCTGGGCTGGCTTTGAATCTAGACTACAGGCAAGAGCCAGCTTTATTTTTTATTTTTGTGCCAATCATGGGGCTTGAACTCAAGACCTAAGCACTGTCCCTGAGTATTTGTACTCAGTGCCCTACCACTTAAACCACAGTTCCACTTCCAGCCTTTTGTGGTTAATTAGAGACAAAAGTCTCATAGACTTTCCTGCCTTGGCTGGCTTCAAATGGTGATCCTCAGATCTCACTCAGCCTCCTCAGTAGTTAGCATTATAGGTGTGAGCCACCCATGCCTGTTTTTTTTTTTAAACTGTCTAATTATATGCTAACACTAGATACATAACTCTTAGACACTAGATTCTTACCATATATATGATTTGTAATGTTTTCTTTTACCCAGGAGTTGTCTACTTCTTATTAGTGACCTTGAGACACAGAAGGTTTTTGTTTTTTGGTCAGTTGTGGGACCTGAACTCTGGGCCTGGGCACTGTCCCTGAGCTCTTCAGCTCAAGGCTAGCACTCTACCACTTGAGCCACAGTGCCACTTCCGGCTTTTTCTGCTTGTGTGGTGCTGAAGAATCGAACCCAGGGCTTCATGCATACAAGGCAAGCACTCTACCTCTGAGCCACCTCTGAGCTACCTCCCCAGCCCTTGTTGTTTGTTGTTGTTGTTGCTGGTCCTGGGGCTTGCACTTAAGGCCTGAGTGGTATCCTTGAGCTCTTTTTGCTCAAGGCTAATGCTCTACCTGCATGAGTCACAGCTCTACTTCTGGCTATCTGGTGTTTAACTGGAGATGACAGTCTAAGGACTCTCCTGCTTAGGCTGGCTTTGAATGGTGATCCTCAGATCTCAGTCTCCTGAATGGTTAGGATTATTGGCGTGAGCCACCAGCCTGGTATTTTTAAAGCCTTGCTGACATCCAATTTATCAGTTTTTCTTTGGTGTGTACTTTTGCTGTCATAACTAAGGAATCACTGCTTAATCCAAACCTGAGGTCAGGCATATTTATGCTGTTCTTCCTGCTAAGGGTTTTCACAGTTTTAACTCTTATACTTAGGTTTTTGATCCATTTTAATCTTATAAATGCAGTCTAGAATAAGGTCCATATTCATTCTTATGCATGCAGGTATCCAGGTGCTTTAGTACCTTTGTTGAAAAGACCATTTTTTTCTTTTTCCATATTAGGATTCTGGCACCTTTGTTGAAAAGCAACCGATCATCAATATATGAATTTATTTAGAACTCTTATTTCTACTCCACTATGTCTATTTTTCCCCCCGAGGCTGGAGTTTGAACTCAGGACTTCATGCTTGCTATGCAAGTGATCTACTGCTGAGCCCTTTTTTGTACTGGTCATTTTGAGATAGGGTCTTGCTTTTGGCCTAGCCTCAGGCCTGGATGGTGATCCTCCTATTTCATTCACACTTTCTGACTTAGCTAACAGATGTGCAGTGATTTTTCCATTGAGATGATATCTTGCAACCCTTTTTTGCCCAGGCTGGCTTAGAACAGTAAATCTTCCTGACTTCAGTCTATCTTGTAGCTAAAATGATAAGGAAACACCACTCTTCTTGCTATTAGTTGAGAATCTTTTGCCTGAACTAGCCTTTAACCTTGATCCTCTCAATCTCAGCCTCTGGAGTAGCTAGGATTATATGTATGAGCCACTGTGCCCAGCTTTAATCTACATATACTTAAAAGTTAGTTTAGCAAAATACACTTTCATCCTCATTGTCTTCCAGAATCATACAGCCACAGACCCCTTACCTTAAACCTCTGACTCCGACAAAAGCTGATGCAGGTTTGGATGGTGAGTTTGTTGGATGTTTTGCTGGCACCAGTTAGAGGAGGTGGGTTTCCGTGGTCCTTGTAGCAGCCAAGGTTTCCAGGCACTGGAGTGAAAAAGAAGTATTTCTCATCTGGTTGTGAAATACCAGGGAAGAGTGATGCGCACCAGGGGCTGCCATCTCATCTGGTGTTTCTACTCCTGAGGCACAAACAAATAACCTGCCACGGGCTTTAAACGCAGAAGCCTCAGTGTTCTCTGCCAAGTACCATGCTTTTGTTTTGTTGTGATGAGTATGTAAGATCCAGGTTTTTCTCTAGCAACCCTAAGGGCCCTACTGACCTCGCTGGTGATGATAGGAGAAGGACACATTTCTGAAAAAAACAGACAAACTGTCAGATGCAAATTATGTTTCAGCTTCACTAGAGGGAGCGGGGCATAGAGGTGGATGCTTGCAATTCCAGCCCTCAGGAGGGGATCAGGGCAGGAGGGTCATGAGTTCAAGGTTCATCAGGGCTATACAGCGAGACCCTACCTCAAAAATAACCCCAAACAAAACAAACAAATGAGCTGGGCACTGGTGGCTCATGCTTGTGATCCTAGCTACTCAGGAGGCTGAAATCTGAGGATCGTGGTTTGAAGCCAGCCCAGACAGGAAAGTCTTGGGACTTATCTCCAATTAATCACCAGAAAACAGGAAGTGGAACTGTGGCTCAAAGTGGTAGAGTACTAGCCTTGAACAAAAAAAGCTCAGGGACAGTGCCCAAGCCTTCAGTTTAAGCCCCAGGGGACGGACACACACACACACACACACACACACACACACACACACACACACACACACACACACACACACACACACACACACACACACACACACACACATGAAAACTCATCATCCTAACTCCCCCTGTTCCATACAAAGTGCTACAGTTAAGGTTCCACAAGGTTTTTAAGTTTCTGTCATTGTTTTGTCTTTGTCCAATACTAGGGTTTGAAGTCAGAGACTTGTGTTTACTAAGCTTACTGGCTAGTTTTCTACCTCTTGAGCCATGTCTCTAATCTGTTTTTTTGCTGATTATTTTGGAAAAGTCTGACTTTTCTGCCCAGGCTGGCCTCAAGCTATGATCCTCCAGATCTCAGCCACCTGTGTAGCTAGGCTTACAGGTGTGAACCACTGGCTTCAGAGTCTGAAGGTCTTTTGGTGAGTGGACTGATTTCTTATTGTGATTAAATACCCATAAACCCACTTGTTTATGATATAAATTTGTAACCTTTTAGTTCTGGAAGCCAGAAGTACTGAATGGATCTGGCAGGGCTGAGTCTCTCCAGGGGGCTCTAAGAATGTGTTCTTTGCCTTTCATCCTGGAAGTGGCCCACATTCGTGGGTTTATGGCCAGAGCATTGTTCTGTTGCCACCGTCACCTCTCCTTCTCTCCCTCAGCTTCCGCTGGGCCTCTCTTTGTAAGGACCCTTGGGGTGGCCGACCCAGGTTGGTCTATATCAAAATATTGAACCGTGTCTAAAAAGTTCCTTATGCTATCTAGGGTCACATTTTCACAGACTTGAGACCCCAAATTCCTTGGTTTTTTTTTTTTTTTTTTGCAGTGCTAGGGTTTAAACCCAGGGTATTGTTTATGCTGGGTGAGTACACTACCACTGAGCCCATCAGACTCAAGATTACAAACATATGCTAGGTGCTGGTGGCTCACACCTAAAATCCCAGCTACTCAGAAGACTGAGATTGGAAGGATATAGTTTAAAGCCAGCCTGGGCAGATAATTTGTGAGACTCCAATTAACCAGCAAAAAGCCAGAAATGGAGGTGTGGCTCAAGTACTAGAGCACCAGCCCTTGAGAAAAAAAACAGCCAAGCAAGTTCTAGTACTAGCACATAAGAAAAGAAAAACGAGACATCTTTCAGGGGCCATCATTCAGCCTACCACAGTAAGCGTATCAGTGTTTCACAACCAAACCTCATGGTTTGGTTTGGCGAAAGAGGACTAGAGGAATGTAGGCAGTAGTCAGCTTTCCCAGATGGCCCGATGTTTGTTCCCAGCATGTTGTGATAAGAGGTGCACAGAGAGACCCAGCCCCTGGAATTTCCTGAGTAATTCTGTTCTCATGTGGCAACTCAGGGTGGGCTCCTAGTTAGTTTGAAGATAGGGGCTCTCACCAGAAAGATGAAGCCATTATTCCTTACCCTCCAAGAAGGGGTTTATCAATTACGTGATGAAGGTTCTTTAAAAACCTCCAAATGCTCTTTGGGAGTCAGAGTGTTTCTGGGTAGCCAAACACATCCAGGTGCTGGGAGGATGGGACACTCTGTGGAGAGAAGCTTTGTGCTTGGGATCCTTCCAGACTCAAACCTCCATGCTTCTCATCTGGCTGGTGTCTGGACTCTTCGTGACTCCTTTGATAATAAACGAACAAGCTGGGTGTCAGTGGCTCCCATCTGTCACCTTAGCTACTCAGGAGGCTGCGATCTGAGGATCTAGATTCAAAGCCAGCCTGGGCAGGAAAGTCTATAAGGCTTTTATCTCCAATTAACCATTAAAAAAGCCAGAAGCAGAGCTGCGACTCAAGTGGTAGAGCACTAGCCTTGAGCAAAAAAAAGCTAAGGAATAGCACCCAGGTTCAGAGTTCAAGCCCCAGTACTAGCAAAACAAACAAACAAAAACATCAAATAAGTGGGAACTGAAAAACAACAACAACGAAATCCCACAAAAACTTCTTTGGACAAATTTCTTACCTCTTGGTGTTCATGCCCTATATATACATATGATTAGGACTAGTGATTTACTTTTGACCAACAAAAAGTGGCAAAGTTGACAGAAACTTTTTTTTGGTGGTGGGGCCTAAACTCTGGGCCTGGGCGCTATCCCTCAGCTCTTTAGCTCAAGGCTAGCACTCTACCACTTGAGCCACAGCGCCATTTCCGGCTTTTCTGCTTATGTGGTGGTGAGGAATTGAACCCAGGGCCTCATGTATGCAAGGCAAGCACTCTACCACTGAGCCAATTTCCCAGTCCAGGAAGTCATTTTTTCTATTAGGTTACAAAAGTTCTTCAACTTGCCTCCTCAGTTAGTATACTTTTCTTTTCTTTCTTCATTTTTTTAAAAATAAGGCTTACTATGTTGTCTAAGGTGGCCTTGAACTCATGATCCTCCTGCTTTATCCTGCAAAGTATTTAGGATTACAGGTGGGAACCATTGTGCTTGGCTTCATATTTCTATGAAGCAATAAACTCTGTCAGAAGCCATGTGGCAAAAAAATTGAGGGTGGCTTTCAGCCAACAGCCAATATGAAACTGAGCCTTTTAGCTCAACAGACCACAAAGAACCGATTCCTACTAACAACTATGTGAGTTGGGAAGTGGATCTCTCCCAAGTCAGGCCTTCAGATGAGATTCCAGCCCTGGCAAACACTTTGATTTCAGCTTTATGAGAGACCTCAATGTTGAGGACCAAGCTAATTCACACCTGAATTTTATGGCTCATAGAATGTGTAAAACAATAAATATGTGCTTCTGTAAGTTTGTAGGAAATTGATCAGACAGCAAGAGACAACTAATACATACATACATACAAACATACATACATATATACATACATACATATGTATAATACATAGCAAATCCAGTGTGAGTCATGGACAAACCAGCCATTCTGGACCTTAATTTTCTACCAGCCTTATTGTGTGTGTGTGTGTGTATGTGTGTGTGTGTATGTGTTAGTACCAGGGCCCTGGGTGCTAGCCCTTAGCACTCTGTTGCTTGAATTATACCTACAAGCCTTACTTTAATATAATTATTATAATTATTGTTATTATTATTTGTGTGTGCGTGCTGGTCCTGGGGCTTGAATTCAGGGCCTGGCTGCTGTCCTTGAGCTTCTTTGCTGAACCACAACTCCACTTCTGGCATTTTTGGTAGTTAATTGGAGATAAGAATCTCAAAGAACCCAGCACTGGTGGCTCACGCCTGTAATCCTAGCTACTCAGGAGGCTGAGATTTGAGGATGGCAGTTCAAAGCCAGCCTGGGCAGCAAAACCCATGAGACTCTTATCTCCAAATAACCACCAGAAAAAAACCTGGAAGTGGTGCTGTGGCTCAAGTGGTAGAGAGTCTGCCTTGAGCTGAAGAGCTCAGGGACAGTGCCAAGGCCCAGAGTTCAAGCCCCATGACAAAAAAAAAAAAAAGAGTCTCAAGGACTTTCCTACCTAGGTTGGCTTGAAACTGTGATCCTCAGATCTCAGCCTCCTGAGCACCTAGGATTACAGGCGTGAGCCACCGGCGCCTAGCATCCCTCCTTTCTAAGACTGGAAAACAACATGGTCCAGTTTCAGGAGCTTTATCTCCACATTAAGCCTCTGCTGAACATATAAAATATATGCACATATTTGAAGGCACACCCACACACTTTTATTTCTTCTTGATCAGCTCGTTTTAATTGACAGGAAGTACCACTGCTGACCCAAATGCTCACCCCTTCCCCCTTTCAAGTGGCTGCCGGCTCCCTTGCGTCACACATGGTTCAAATATAACAAATGTGGCTCACCACACAAATGTTAAGATGAATCTTTCGGAAACAAACCAAATCTCTATAGTAGCAAATGTAAACAGAATGGCTGTAGGCAGCAGGGAGTCCAGTGCTCAGCACAGGCCTGGTTTGAGCATGTCTGGGTTAAGGGTTTAAACAACTGCAGAAAAGTTAAGCATCTGTACTCAGGGCCATGTGCTGCCAGCTGAGTTTGTTAAGGGGACCTTACATATGGAAACATGAGCCGTGCATTTAATGGTTCTTAGTAAGAGAATGGTCATGATCATTGGTCTCGATCTTGGTCACTGAGACTCAGGTTTTGGTCCCATTTATTCCATTATGCTTGCAAGTAAGCATGTTATTACGTATTAGTCTACAGACAGCCCAAGGCACATAGTCATCAGCGTTAAGGTCAGACATAAGCAAGGCCACGGGTTGCGAGAATACAGCTGGAACCTATAAGCTTTATTCACAGCAAGGTGGTGAGCAGATCCCGACAGCTCCAATCCTGTCCCAAAGGAGCAGTGTGGGCTCCCACTGCCCCAGGCGGCAGGCAGACCATGGGG